ATTATATCTTGTTTGAATTGTAGAGCAATGTTTCATATTCTGAAACCAATGGAGAAGAACCTTCCAACAATTCTTTCTGTTTGGATGAGGTATGTGGCACTTAATACGACTTTGGATTGGTCTATGGCTTTGTAACTCAAATTAATGATTGATAATTTTTTTCACAGGAACCACATACTTATGAAGATAGTTTATCAGGTTCAGTTGGGGCGAGCAAACCAGGTCCTTCAACTCCCACTGAAGTAGGTGCCGTAACAATTCTTTCTTTTTTGAGGTGGTTTAAACTAAGCATAATGTTTCAACGTTTTTGACAGATGCTGTTAGATGGAGATGAGAATGATTCAACCATGAATTGGAGTGATGTTATTGCATATCGATTGGATCACTTTCGGAATGAAGATTCATATAGTGAGAGTGAAGGGAACAGTGAATCATCGGATAACGAACCGAGTTCAGTTGAGGATACTCCAAATGATGAATCAGACGAAGATTCAAATGATGAAAATGGAGGTGGAGATCCTGATGGTGGTGGTCCTGGTGGCGATGATCCTGAAGGGGATGGAGATGATTTAAGTAATGCTAATGACTCAAATATAAATGGAGTGTTAGATGAAGACAACTTTTCACTGGGTCATCCATCACTCAATCGTGTGCTGCAAGCTGCTCATGGGCGTACTGCTAAAGAAGTTTTAGCTATGATCTTAACTTTAGCTGCTGAACAAAACCTTAATTATGTAACCGTGGTTGAACTGTGCCGTATAGCCAATGTAACTAATGCCTTTAAAGCTCTACCCAGTACCAAAAAACAGTTATGGGCTGTGCTTCAAAAGAAATCAGCTGGTATTGTGAAACATGCATACTGTGAAAAATGCTTGTCTGTTCTTGGTGTTTTAAAAGACTTGCCTAGAGTAGTGGTATGTAATAATGAGTTGTGTGACTATAGAAGCCAGCGTCGCAATGTGAAATATTTTATAACTTTAAGCCTGACAAAACAGCTCAAAAGTCTACTCTCCATCCCGGAAATTCGACAACACCTTCAGTACAAGTATACAAGAAGAAAATTCAATCAAGATGCTCGTGAAGATGTAATAGATGGTGACGGCTATAAAGCCTTAGAAAATATGGAAAATGGTCTTCAAGAATTTGATCTAACATGTCAATTGAATACAGATGGTTTCAGTACAAGCAGATCATCAAATTCTCAAGGCTGGGCAATTTTAGGAAGAATCAATGAACTGCCACCTGCTTTAAGGCAGAAGCTAACTTTTCTTGCTGGTTTGATCATTGCTGATGGAGAAGCTGATTTGAGTATGCTGTTTGAAAGATTTGTTGGTGAACTGAGTCATATTTCTAGAAATGGCATTGAGTGGGAACATAATGAACAATTGTTTATCAGTCGCATGAAGCCTACCTGTTTTTGTCTTGATGCTAGAGCCCGAGCTCTCCTTATGAACTTAAAGATTTACAGCGGTCATTACAGTTGCCCTTTCTGTCTGCATCCTGGTGTGAAGTTGGCTGGATGTATGAGGTTCCCTCTCCCAGGAACTGAAATAGTAATGCAGGTGCGTGGGGTAGAGCGAGTACTGGTTATTCCTGATGCCCCTCTGCGCACTGATGCTGGTGTTAGGCACGACATGCAGCAAGCCAATGCAAATCGAAATGTTCATGGGTTCCACGGGCCTTCAGTGCTGATTAATTTGGATGATTTCAATTTTGCCACTGGATTTTCCCCGGACGATTTACATCCCATATTTCTTGGGGTGACTAAATTTCTTACAAATGAAATTCTCAGTGCAGCTGCAAACGTTGAAGACTTACAAGCCCAAATTGATGGAAGACTTCTGAAAATTCTTACCCCTTCACTAATTTCTCGGAAACCAAGAAGCATATCAAAGAGAAGAAAATACAAAGGGACTGAATGGAGGAATTGGCTTCTGTATTTTGGTATCCCCTGCATGGATGGTCTCATTTCAAATGCAAATATGCGTCTGTTTTCTCTTCTCTCCAAAGGTATCTTCATACTGTCAAGTGATTCTGTTACGGATAATGACATAGAAGTTGCCCATGAATGCTTACAGAGGTTTGTTACTGGTTTCCAAGCGATGCATGGTCCAGAGAAAATGCGTTTTAATATACACATCATGGTACATCTGGCTCAAGCAGTCCGCAATTGGGGTCCTCTACACCTTCACAGCACTTTTCCATTTGAGTCATGGAATCGCCGACTAAGAAATAATATCTCTTCTCCACATGGAGCTGCAGACCAAATTGTGGACCGTTACTTGCTAGAATCTCTTGTTCGCAAGTTGCCATACGACCAAGAGCTTGATGAAGAGGTCAGAGAAGAGCTCCAAAATATAGCATCTCCATATGTCATGGACAATCCCCTCAAGATTGGTGATGTATATTTTTTTGGGAAAAGAGCTCGTCCTAGACCCCCAACAGCAGATGAAATTGCTTTGCTCCACAATGAAAATCTTCATTGTGACCTTCTCACAGAGTATTATCAATGCAGAAAATCAAGAATGATTCTTCATTCCACCGAATATTATGTTCTTGCAGACCGCACCTCTAAGTCAAACAATAGTGTAATTTTTACTAATGATAATCAGTTTTATGATATTGTTAAGATTGTGGTTTTTGAACACGATGGAGAAGAGAAATGTGGTTTGTTTTGCCGTGGTTTGGAGGTTGGCAATGCTCTTAATGGTGCCTCTCACATAAAAGAAGTTCACAATGAAAACAATGATGCCGTTCAGTGGATCTCTTTTGATAATGTAAGATTATTTGCTATCAAAATGCCTGTAAGAAATCGTTTGTTTGTTGCTCCAATGGCTAACATAGGTGAAATTGATTAATTGAATTTGTTTTGTTCTATATAGAACAAATATTTGTGTATTTATAAATTCACAAATGTATTTCCCTTCCCATACAGTGTGAATATTTAAGCCAGATCTAAGGTCATGTGAAAGTGTGCTAAACTTCAATTAAAAATAAATAATTTATGAATAGTTACAATTCGCCCATTATTGAGTCTATTATGAAATTTTGAAGAACCCCAGAAATACATAGAGACACGCTCAGGACACGGCTGAGGACATGGCAGGACAGAAGTGGGACGTGACGCCAGGAACAAATAAGCGGAGACACGCATAGGACACGAATGGCGGGTCACAGCAGGGACGTGATCCGGACATAATACGTGGGGACACGCCTAGGACAACACAAGGACATAATTAGCGGGACACAGATGGGACGTGATAGGGACAAAGTACGTAGGGACACGCCTAGGACAACACA